GGCGATCCAACCGCCCAAACCCGCCAGAACCGCCAGAACCGTTAGACCCGGACAACCCGGTAAACCCGGCGGGCCAAATTCAAATATGCCATTTTCAATTTTTTCAACCATTTTTTAATTCAATATTTATTTTATACCTTTTTTTTTTGTTTGATACCCCTTTTACCCTCTTCTACACATTACAATTACATGGTAAAATACTTAAAAAAAACAAACTTTGAATGCAAATGGGTAAAATCACTAAATTAGATCAAGAAGTCAAGAACCCTAAGCCTTCTTCAGTTCTTCACTTCTTCTTCGACTCGTCTCCTCCGGTCCTCCCCCATCTCCAGTTTACACTGTAGTTTTCCTTCAGTCCTTCTCCAATTCTTTCTTCGATTCCAAACAAATTGCAAAGAAGAAACGCGAAACAACAACGATTCCTTATCTCTTCCGTCCAGATTCGGAATCACACTTCTTCTGTTCTTCATCAGATCTTCATCTTGTCACCATCGCCAAGGTCGTTCTCCCTCTCGATCGGTCGATCCTCATACTTCTTTTGTTCTACATCAGATTTTCATCTTCTCACCGAGGTCGTTCTCTCTCTGGATCCTCTTCGACGTGAAAAATTTTCTTCTCCAGTTCTCTTCAGGTATAGAATCACTTTTAGGCTTCAGCTTGCTGCCTTGCTCTGCATTTCGTTGCTTTACTTGATCCTCATACTTCTTTTGTTCTTCATCAGATTTTCCTCTTTCTCCCGAAGTCGTTCTTTCTCTGGATCCTCTTCGACCGTTCGACCTGCAATATTTCTTCTCCGGTTCCCTTCAGGTACAGAACAGTGAATCACTTTAAGCTTGCTGCCTTGCTCTGCATTTCGTTGCTTTACTTGATCCTTATACTTCTTTTGTTCTTCATCAGATTTTCCTCTTTCTCCCGAAGTCGTTCTCTCTCTGGATCCTCTTCAACAGTTCGACCTGAAATATTTCTTCTCTGGTTCCCTTCAGGTACAGAACAGTGAATCACTTTAAGCTTGCTACCTTGCTCTGCATTTTGTTGCTTTAGTTTAGTAAATTTCTTATCTTTTTACTGCTTATTTTGGATTGGGTTTTGCTCTGCATTTTGATTTTTGAGTTTATTTACAGAGTATATTTATTTATGTGAAATTCAATTTGAATTTTGTTTTGTGATGCTATAAATTATTTTATTGATTATGTGAGGTAAATATTTTTTATGATTTATTTTGTTGATTTATTTATTATATGTGTTTGTTTTTCAACTTTTAAGGTGGCACTCATGATATTAATGAAGAAGTGCAAGGTGGTGAACAAGGATCATTCCATATTGGTAGTGCAAGTGGGGGAATTGATTTGGAATCAATTGGTGAAGAAAATGATGATAGTTATGATAGTGAAAATGATTTTCGTGAACATAATGCTTGGTTTAATCAAGACCCTCCTCATCTTGGGGATAAACAATGAATAATTGTAATTTATGTATTATTTGCATATTAGTTTGTTTTTAGACTTATTTTTCATATATATATGTATGTAAGATTTATTAATTTTGAGATTTATAATTGTATGATACTTTTTTTGATGTATTTATTGAGTTTTTGGATTTTTTTTT